AGGGGAAGAAAGCCATAGTCATGCCCCCAAAGCTGACTCACTTCTACCTACACCTAATAAAGCTACCTGCCTTCTAGACACAGCAGCAATGATTACCAGGTTACAGGCAGAATAACCCCATTAGCCAAGGGCCGGTGCCTGTGTGCGAGTGGCTGGAGGTGCTGCTGGGCGCGCGCCACACGCCTGTTGCACTTACACCCGACCCAGGGATGGAACTCTACCTACTTCCTCCCTCTAGGGCTGCTGGTCCTTTAAATACCCGCCCGAGCTCATTGGTTGGTTAGCGCACGGACGCAGGCCAATCAGCTGTCTGTTTTAAGCCTGGCGGGTGGTGCTGTATCAGCTAATAGTAGAAGCTGTTCTTGTTCCTAGGAGACTGCTGTAACTGCTGGTGGTGGTGCGGGGCGGATGGAGGCGGCCGGTGGGGCCCGGGGCGCGGGCCCGGTACCGGCCAGTGAGGAGCTTCGCACTGAGGCCCTGGGGGGCTGCCGCTGCTCCTCTGCAGAGGAGGCCGCGCTGGAAGTGAGGTGGGGGCCAGCAGGACGGCCCGCGCCCTTCGGGCCTCCACACTAAGCCGCGCACTCCTGAGTACCTCGCCCCGGGAGGGGTGCCTTGGTGTCCTGTCCTGTGCTCCCTCTTACCCCGGATCAGCTCTGTGCAGAGAATAGGGCAGATTTAGCAGGGAAGGGAAGGGAGGCCGTTGTGCTGTGGGTCTCTGTTAGGGCAGCAGATGGCTGTGGGGAGAGATGGAAAGAAGTACTTGCACTGCACAGGGACTGAGCCTTTGGTGGATTTAGATGAAACTTTGGTTCTCTGCCCTTATCACAGGGGGACTCTGAAATGGAGAGTAAGCAACCTTGACTAATTTTAAGCTGGAGCTTGATGAGTTGGTAAGAATTGTGGCATGAGTTGTTGTCTTTTCCTGTGTAGTGGTTCTGGCAGCATACAATCCCAATGAACTCTCGGGGCATGCTTTTCTTCTTGGTATCTGGCCTTGTGAACCCATACAGTTCTGTTCTGTTCATGGCCACATCCCTCTTCTGTTTTACTCAGACTGTTCAACCTCTAGAATTTCCCTGATTCTTCTGTACCTCCTAAATTACCCTGTCATCATCTGCCATGGCTCTTAATTCTCCTGGTATTCTAAATCCTCGCTCCAGCCTTTCTCTCTCAGCGTCTTAACCTGAATGTTGGAGACTTTCAGGCTTTCATTACCTACAAACACTGCCTGTGCTATATATAGAACAACACTTCTCTTCCAGAGCTCTTGGCAGTCCAAGAACTTGCTTTTTGGTTCTGAACAAATAGGACCTGTAGGTGAATTAAGCCCTTCCTGCCCCACTGTGGTTGAGACTTTCACAGCAATCTAGGATGTTTAGACATTTTTTGCTATGTACTGGGACAGATGTTTAAACTTCCTTGTCCATTGTAAGTATTTCAGCTGTTTCATCGATGCTTATGGGACATAGATCCATAATTATAGGTGCAGCGTTTTTTAGTGTAAAGAAAATTATTTGTTCTAGTGATAGGAGAAACAGGTTTCTGCCTTAACCGTTCTGATATTTACAGAGTAAAAAAGCATCTGAAAAGCATCTGAAGCATGTCATGGCTATTCAGAGGAGATCCCTTGTGCAAACCGGTGTTACCCGGAAGAGCTGTGACCCAGGTTTTCTGCTTTGTGAAAACACTGTTATGAAGTTAAAATATTATGCAAAATAAAAAAAAATTAAGCCCTTTTGAATGTGAAGCAAAGCCCATTTCTATAAAATAGAAAAGTTTAAAGTTTGCCTTTCTTATAAATTAATGTTAGCATAGTAGTATGCATATCAGTTTTAGAAGAAAGTGACAAAAATAATTTTTTAGTGGGAAATTGGAATGCTGTGTTTTGTTTTCAGAAAACACACCTCTGGCAAAACTCATGGTTTCATATAATCTATTTTATATGAACTAGCATTTTTCAGTGGCAAAATGCTCTGTAAGGAAATTTCCAAGCAACTCTAATTACATTGCCCCATCTATATTTCACGAGCTGGCAAAGTTTATGACTAAAATACTTCTGACACAAAATTTCTATGGAACTGGAGACAGACATGGCATGAAAGCATGTGGGTGAGCCATGGCTAACTACCTGACCCAGTGTGTACTGCACCAGTCATAGCTGACATCATGTGACAGCCTGAATCCTTTAAGCCTTTACTGGTTGTATAAGGATGATAAATTGCACTGTCATCTGATTAATTTATCCACACATACATATCTTCTAGATTTCATTTTACCCCTGTGAACAGAATTTAAAAATACTTAATTTCCACTGATTTATATACAGCATTGGAGAAAAGCATAGAGCTGGTCCTGTGAGCATGTTCATAAAGGTCTGTTTTATGTGCCATGGCATGTCATACATCCAGTTCTTGTGTAAAAGATCCGGAAAAAACATTCATCAGCTGAAATGCCTCCTCTTTGTTGCTGTGGTATTTGGTTCATCTGCAGGTGTGCATGGTCAGTGTGCTCCTACTCCCCTCTGGCTACTTTTACTCTGGTGCGTAACAAAAAAGGCCAAGAGCAGAACCTCTCAGAAAAGATAATGAGAAGTTATTGCTGGACATAAATATCTCAAGACTAGTCATTTAAAAATGTTCCCAAGTACAAGGGTGCTGAGGCTGTAGTACCATCTTCTAGTAAGAGCACAGAGGGTCATCAGCTGAGCTGATCTTATGACTGACTCATGTTCATGAAAGGCATGTAAAAACACTGCTTGCGATTGCAGAGGACAAAGATCTCTTCCAGTCCAATACCCTTATTTGGAAGAAGAGGTGGAAAGTTTCTGAATAGAAATTAGAAGAGAAGGTGCTAACAGCAATGTTGTACCCAGAGGGTATATGTTACACTGCTGAAACGTTTCTGCCATCGTACTAGCAGGCTAAGCTGTGGCTCAGTCAGACATCTTCACTAATGCAAATCCCTTTCATAAAAGGACTCTGATGTTTATCCACATACTTTCTAAAAGGTAAAAACATCTGCAGGCAGTTATGAGTTTGTTGATATATTGTAAGTCCATAAGCTGACTCCTCTTCAGTAATTTATTGCAGTACTTATATAACACATCCTGTTTACGTTGCAAAGCTTTACAATGTTAAAGTACTGGTATCTTTAAAGCAGAACAGTCCTCCTAGTTAGGTTCACATGAACACAAGTCAGGCCTTTGGATTTTTTATTTTACAGGGATGAGATGAACTATGAAAGTGTAAAAAGGTTAAGCAAACACAACTGGGTCCCCAGACTCTACCTGTGTAATTCTTTCAGAGTATATTACTATGATATATAAGTACAGAAACAGAGCCTCTGAACTGGCTAACTTTATTTTTAGTGAAAAATGAAAGAAATATAACCATCTGTCCATGTTCTTATGATAGTCCTTTGTGGTCCATCAGGGTAAGATTGACCCTGTCTTTTTGGAAACACTGAACTAGTGATTCATAATACTAGATCTTGAAGGTATTGTGGTTTTGCAACGTCTGTATGAGGATGAGTCTAACATCCCAAGCATCAGTTCAGTGTAACAGGTTACAAGGTTCCATTTTTCACAGTATTTTGAGAAATGTGTGTCTCTGATTAATGTTTAACATTCAGTTGCTCTTTCTTAAGTTGGGTTCAGGGATTCTCAAACAAGAACTTTGGCTTTATCAACAATCAAACTGTCTGCTACCCTTGTGGCAATTACATCCTTTTCCTGGACATTGAAACAAAGACAACGACGGTGCTGCAGTGTCAGACTGGCCAGGTGGGAGCCTTTGCAGCGAATGGGAACAGTCAAGTGCTGGCCTTTTCAGACCGGAAGCTGAATCCCATCATACAGATCTACACTTTTCCAGAACTGAGTAAACTGACAGAATTAAAAGGTAGTTATGTGGTAACCCTCCCTCTCACCATTTTAGTAAAATGATACTTAAATCATCCAGTTTCTGAAGGATCTTTTTGATAAGACGTGAAATACAGTGTGACAGGAAGCTGTCTTATGACAAGATGCATGGAAAGCAGTGGAAGGAATTTTCCACTGCACTACTTTTAGTTAGGCTCAAGCTAGGAAGGAATATGACAATTAAAAATGGAGCTGTTTTAAAGAGAAAACAAATGGAATGAAGTGAAATTCATTTGAGGAAAATACAGTCAGAATAACAAAAAGAAAAAATCATACTGCAGTAGGCTTTCAAGCAGACTGATGAAAGCCACAATGAGAAATCTGAGATGTGAGAGGAATGAGGGTTCTTGCAGTTAAACTTTGGAGTCTGGGATCTAATGTATATTTTTACCTGCCTCATAACATTTCTCTCCTTAGTTAAGTTGCTTAACCGATCTATGTTTCAGTTTCCTTGCCATTTAAATAAGAATCATACTACCTGCTTTTTTCATATATATGAATGAAATAATGACTGCAGAGGATTTCAGGGTACTTGGGGAAAAAACACAAATTCAAAGTATTAAAAAAATTTTAAAAATTCCAAGCAATGATACATAGGGAACACTTTTCTGATCAAATTAGAACAATAATCTGGAGTGAAGCGAAGGACTCAGGGGCCTGAAGAATGTCCAAAGAGTTAAAGTGGATACAAAGGAACTGAGTACTCTATCTCTGATAGTATACAGTAAAGTCTGGAGCAATTAAAGACCATGTTCTTTATTTTTACATTTCAGGTAATGCTCAGCTGGACTACACCTTGCTTGCATTTAGTTTCACAGGCCCATATCTAGCCAGTTACTCTTCAGTCCCAGAATTTGTCCTTTCAGTATGGTAAGAGTAAAAAAAAAATTCTCTAATACTGTTTACATTTAATTAATATTTTTGTGTCTCTGCTGTTTTAGCATAAATTAACAAATGTGGAAGACACACTGGTTGCCTTAATCTCCTTTTTTTTTTCTGATTGATCATTGTCTGCAAACTTTCTGTACCAAATTTGCTGGTTATTTTCGAGCATTAGTAGCCACTAGTCAGAAAGACTGTTACTTTGTTACAGTTATCTTCTACATTCTTCAAAATTTTCTGTTATGGAGTACTTCTAAGGTCTTCAGCATCCTAATTATCTGTTCACCCTTGGAACTTGAGTACCATGCTGTTTGTGAAAGAAAGTTGCCTGCTGAAAAGAGGAAGAGCGTTATAAAGTAAATTTTTGCTTTTTTGTCCCCTGGATGGTTCAGTGATCCTCTTAATTACTTGTGCTTGATCTTAGTTCTGTCTTATAGTTTTGCTCAGTGATTACACTACTATGGGTCACTGGGTTATATCATCATTTTCCACTCATTGTCATGAAAAGAAATATTATAGAGAAAGTTAGAATATTTATTTTTACAGAACAATTAAAAAATTTATAATCCTGCTCTTGCCTCCATTGCCAGCAAGTTTCCATTGACTGTGAAGTCTGAGCACTTCTTCAGAACAAATGGGGAGGGTGGAGTAGAAGGCAGGCAAGCAAGGACATGTAAGGAATATTCTGTATACTCCTGATTTAGTGATGACCTTTTCATATACAATAAGTAGTGAAGAGGCAGAAACTCCTGTAACTTCAGAATTTTAGTAATGATAGTAGATATTATTATAGATGCCTCTTCCTTATCCCTTATGAAGAAGAATAATGTTTGCTATGAACTCTGATCATACACAGTAGTTCAGGAAGGATGTCTCTGTGTGTATCACAGTAGAAACCAAGACAGCCTCACTGGCCTGAAGAGCTTACATGCTTGTCACAGCAGAAATAACACACATGGTCTAATGTGTTTGTGGTGTGCACTTAAACAAAAATCCACCATCTTGAAAGACTTCTCTAGATTATTCTTAAAAATGGAAATATCTAGAAATGCTTTAAAGTAGTAGCAATTTTCAAGGCCAAACAATTTAAACCTATTTAAGTCAGCATGAATATGACTATCAGCAGGTAATTGTCATAAAAGAACCATCCTAGATTCCAGTCAGAAAGAATTTAGTAACAAAATAGAATTACCTCACAGTATTAAACTTAGAATTTATAAAAATTTGAACAGAGGTATGTGAATTTACTGTGAGATCAGGACCTTCATTTTTGCAATTGGATTATGTTGTGCATTCATTATAGAAATGTGTGTGTACAGATTAAACAAATCTCAATGTTTAGCATTCTTAATGTGTGACTACAATATGATGATTGCACAGTTCCTGTATTTGAAGCAGTGGGTTTGGTATCAGCAGTATAAGAGATGTTTTGGAAGTTATGTCAGTCTCAAAATAGAAAAAGCTTGTGGGTAACTAAAAGCTGCCTTTCATTTGAGATTTTATCCCTAGATCTTTATTCTTTTCTGTTCAAAGGAGAGACTTAATGCCAGATTCTTTTTCAGATACATGTGCCATATAGTTTCAGATCTTAATAAATTATCTACTATAAAAGACTGTCGGCACTATCTGTTAGGTATGAGATGAGAACATGCTGACAGATCTTTAGAGACAGCGCTACACTGATATCTTTTAAAGTCAGAATCACAGCTTATAACTTTCTGTAATTTTAATGAGAGTTACTGTCTATGCATGAATGCTTTTTATTTTTTGTATATGCTGTCAAAATTAACCATTGTCTTGCATTCTGATCTGTTTCTGTGGGTGAATTTATTACAGGCCAGAACAACAGGATTATACTAAATCCATTTACAGCAGTGTATGCATTTTAGGTTTTTTCCCTCTCAGCAGTAATGACAAATACTAGAGCTATGAATGTTATTTAGATTAATAGACAGATATATTGTCCAAGAAATTAAGAAACATTTTTAACCATATTCTTCAAATTATGTTAATCAGTTCTTGGACAGCACCTAAAAATGCAAATGCAGTAAAGAATTAATCTGGATAATGACAACATATGCAAATTAGATGATAAGAACATAAAATAGGTTACACTGGACAAAAGAAAAGTCAGTGGAAAGCAGATTCCCAGGCTTGTGTCAGCTATATGTAACAGCCCCACACAAATTCTCTTCCATTTTCTGTTTGAGTTACTTAATGCAGCCATAGCTTATATGTCTGCATTCACAACACAATTACTGTGTTATCTAAGTAATTCATCCATAGATAATCATGGGCCGACTGTGTTTTATTTCCTAATTATAATACCTTCCAACTGCAAGCCTGCAAACATTATAATCATTATTTTACAGATTGGAAAAGCAAGGCTGAGGTCTGGGGTGCTGAAGAGTTAATTGTTTGGTCCCATTCAAATAGTCACTGATAGAACTGATGAAAAAAAATCCACGTCTTTTGACTCTGTTGGTCTTTTCACAAAAGGAAGTGCATGATAAATTTTCTAAAATGTCAGTTTTAAAAATTACTTTAGTATTCAATCTTTTTGTAGCAGTACCAATTTTATGTGTGGCTAATTAATGACCTCCTTTTCATTCTGAAGAGGACCTAACTTGTTTGACAGCAGAATTTTTGTCAGTGACAAAGTATTTGTTTTCCAATCCTGATCTTGAATGTCGGTCATAATCACATCCGGATCTTTGGCTTGAATGTTTTTTACATATTTAATTGATTTGATTTTCTTTTACTCTCCTTAATGAAGGAACTGGCAAGAAAATATCCTCCTGTGCAGTGAGTCTCAGCCAGGAGTAACACCGACCTCTTTAAGTTTTAACCCTATGAATTGGCAACAACTGTGTTTTGTTACTGAGAGCTCCATTACTATCTGGCATATCGAAAGGAATAATGATGAGCATCACCTTAAGCAAAAGTAAGTGGAACACCCTTCATGTTAAGAGAAAAATCTCCAAGTATCTTTTCATAACTAAGATTAGCAATCTATGTCTGTTTGCAAAGAATGTAATCCAATTTAGTTCACCTAGTAATTGCAGTCAGTAATTGCTAAATCACAACCAGTGTGAGTCTATCTAGTCAATCAAGTGAATTGAATTTATGATTTCATTTCTTAGTACTCACATGTCCAGATTATGTAATCATTAAGCTAATACTAATTGGCTGCTTTGGCAGCCTCTCTCAAGGGCTGTGTGACTGAATTAAGGTAGTGCCTGGACTGCTTTCCTGCAGGTGGCTCTGTTGAGCATTGCTTTTGTAGCTGTGTAACCACCAAATTCAGATCAAGTTGCTTTATAGTAAGCATCATTAAACAATATGTTGTTTTAATCACAAATGTACCAAAAGCAGTATCAGTTTTCTGTGTGATTTCCAGCTTGCGTGGCCAATTTACAGGTCCAGAGGGGATGGTTCTGTCAGTGCAATTCACTGAGCACGGCAAACAAGAGTTTATTTATGCTAAAATGTTTTTTGAGGCTGGTATAAAAGCAGTATATATGATTCAAGTTGGAGTCCTTGAAGTGTAACACGTATGCTCTTTCAATGGCAGCTACTCTACAGTTCCCAAGTTTAATCCTGTTAACTATGAATATAACCAACATATTGCCACTGACACAGTTATACTAGTGAAAGTATGGACAAGGCCTCTCTGAAGAGAATACTGAAGGGTTTTTTCCTTAGAAAGATTATAGAGTACACATGTGAAAATACATATATACTCCTTTTTCCTCACTTTTCATTCAATTCACTAGAGGTTAAACCTCCACTGAGAAATGTTTATTTTACATAATTTTTTTCCAAGTCATAAATCAACATAGTTCATAAACTATAGAATCCTCAACTCCTGCTTTGTAACAGCCACTCATATGCTTATTACCAGAGTGCAACAGGCATATACTACTACTAATTTTTCATCATCATTAAGCTTTCTTCAAATAAACATTAAGCATGAATCCTCACAGCATATGCAAGTTAGGTGTGTGACTTTATTAATCCTGGCTAATAAGGAAGCAACAACATAGAATAGTTTTTTATACAAGGCAACAAGAAAAGATGCTGACCTAGAACATGGAAATCCATTTCTGCCAGTTAGGAACATTCCTCTTTTGTAGTAGAATTACTGTTACTTTTCAGTGAAATGGTATGTGCCATGTAGAATGATTGTCTACAACAGTCTTCTATTACTCTTGCAGAAGTAAAGCCCATTAATTGAGTTGGTGTCTCAAAGTTTTGAAAACATGCTTCTCAGTTTTGTATCCGCATTTACTATTCATAATATTTCTTCTCCTCAGACAGTGTCTCTTCCTTTTTCACAGCCCTGTGAAACTCCCTGATGGACAAGGGTCTGTGAGTCCTCATGAGGATTTGTTTTTCCCAGTTTCTCGTAGTGAAGATCCATACCATGGCCCTGATTTGCCAGTTTCAGCTATTGCTGGACTGGTAGGAGATGAAGCAGAAACATTCATGGTAGTTACTGATTTTTTTCCTTTTTACTATTCCAAGTCATTATGCTTTTTATGCAAATAGGTGTTAATAAATGAATAGTTTTAATGTCTGTTAACCTGGTGAAACCCAGTAAATAGATCTGTTGTCTCAACAATATTTTTGAAATCCATTTTGACTGGAGAGTTACAAGGCATGCTGCTACTGCACAGTGCAGTACAACGTAGAGATTTCTGACACAGGTCCTAGCATAGTAATGTGTCTGTGCAGTGGAGGTACTAATCTGTATCTCAAAAGCAGTATAAGCACGTCAGCATTTAACCATGTGTCCAAGCTAATATGACCTGCTGACACCTTGAAACCCTATTCCCATGCTAAACTAGTAGTAACCTTCAGGTTTCCTTACTTCCCTTTGGGATTTGTTTTCTTTTTGACTCTGAAAATGCCTCAAGCTATGGAAACATTGAAGACTTTATTCCAGACAGCAACCTCTGCTTCTGAAATACATTCACATATCACTGTCAGTGTTGGACCTGCCCATTTATCTCACTTGTATTTGATTATTTACTTGAGATGCTTCCTCTGAGAGACTTCAAAAGTGTTCTTATTTTGTTTGAGATTTACTTTCACCTGACTACCAACTAAAAGTATCTGCCAGTGTGAAAACATTTAACTTGCAAATTTGGGGTTCTCTTCTAAGATTAAGACTGTCAATTTCTATTTGGTGGCTTGTGATATATATGAGACACCAAAAACTACCATGCATAAGATGATACTGGCATTATACAACATCTTTTCAATGGACCAATGAGTTCTGTATTATCAGATTAGTGTACCACAGGCCTGCCATAAACTTTTCTTATAAAGCAGAATAAAAACAAAGCATAGGGAATGATGCTTTCTTGACCTCACCCTCTTTTTCATGGCTTCATGCATTCAGATTTGCAGAGGCTTTTAACTCTGTAACTGCTGATGCCCTTGGTTTCCAGGGCAATCAATAACTACAGTCAAACATCCTCTACTGATTCTGATTACACAGATCACTTAAAACATGGAAAATGAAGATAATATATGCTCATCAAGGGCATTGCCTTTTTCTTCTGCCTTACTGCCTCTTATATTATGTGCAGATGATGAACTGCAAAAACCACTTTGTTCTTTAGTCCATAAAGTGAATTATGAGAGGTATTGGGGGGAAAAAAAACAACTGCCATATTAGGGCTGTGAGGCTTAATTGAATGTGTGTTATTCCATTCAGGAATGGTAGGTTCTTGAATTTGCAGAACCATGTCATGAACTTTTCCACATGGAAAAGTTGGCGCTTTCAACCATACTAGATATCACTGTAGGGTCTTTGCATTTCCAAATGCCTTCAGAAAAATATGTATTTCTTTTTAGCACCTTCCAGGTGATTATGTTCCCCTTATACATAGAAATATTCTTGGAGTAAGAGTAGATTGTTCTACTAGTCTTTGACAAAGATTTCCTTTTCTTTCAAATTACATGGTAAATATTTTGATTCTTATTTACTGTCCCAGTTCCCTAGATGTGTGTATTTTGGTTGTGAATGTTGTCAAGGTAATGAACATCAGGTTATTTAGAAATGAAACTTTTTTGCAGAAATACAAACTGTTATTTTTCCTTTTGTTGTTGTGGTGGTATGTTTTTTCCTGTCTACTAAATTGTGAGGTGCTACATGCACAGTTTAGCACTGGAGGGCACTGAATCTATTTCTGGCATGTTTTCACCTTGCTGCAGACTATGATAGCTGAGTGATTTTTTGCAGGACTTGCATTTATTGTGACTTACAGTGCTAATTCTCCCCTCCACACATGCCTGTGCATATATGCCCCATCTCTAACCTAGCAGAAAAACTGAGCCACTACTAGGTCTTGTAACCTCCCACACTGGGGGAATTGCACACATATGTCTTGTCAGGTTAAGCACCCCCTTCCATCACCCCAACACGGAATATATGGTTTTGGCAAAGCAATTCCTGCACAAGTTGATCAGAATACACTTGGTGGAGAATATACTTCTTTGAAATATTGTTTTATCAAGACCCTTATGTTGAAAAGTGTGTAATGCAGCAACTTTGAGAGAGATTGAAATGACCAAACTTGCTGAGTTCCTCAGATATCCAGGTATCTTCAGACTATGATTGCTGTAATGTAATAGAGGTGCTATAACTACCATTCTTCACTGTCTTTATAAATTGACAGGCTGCTGCAGCAGATGTATCAATGGTTACTATCACTGATGATTTGTATATCATTACAAATGTCCATGAGCAGTTACCTGACTCTGGCCTAAAATCTGTGCCTTAACATTTGTAAATACCTTGGAGTTATTTTCTTCTCTACTATCACCAATTCTTTTTTAATTAGTAAGAGAGAACCATCTTCTCCTGTGGTGCTTAATGAGGTTTGTTCAGCTGAATGTAGTGGTAATAATATCATGGCCTGGTGAAGCTCTCCCTATCGCTGCAGAATTTGACAAAAGGTTTTTTGTTCTTTATCACTAAATCTGAGCCAGTTGAGAACAATGTTTTTCAATGTTTCCATACAAAGCGGAGAATCATTTATTTAGACCATTATTTAAAGGAGTTGTCCTCAACCTGTAGTCCTTGGAGGCAGTAACCCACTCCTAAGGAATGTGTGAGAGGCAAAAAAAGTGAGTCCATTGCCAGTGCACTTGTTTGCTGCTTTGAAATGTGTTAGGGTTCCATACTCTAGCAGAAGATATTGAGGCTGGGTATGTACCAAAGTGTAACCACAACGGGGCAGCAGAGTGAAAGGAATTGAAATATCCTACAGCTTTCAATCCTTTTCTTTCTTGCATTAAGTTCATTTGGTTGCTTCAATATTTCTTACAGTTGGGGCCTGACTCTTCTAAACATGCTTTACCATGACAAGCCCACTTGACTCCACTTCGTCCCCAGTACCAATTTTATTCCATTGTCTTTTTATTAAACTTTTCATGACAAGGATCCATCATGGATTTTTTTCCTTGAAGAGGTGCTACTCAAAAAGGAGAGCAGTTCAAAAAAAGACAGCATGATTACGATGCACCATTGTAGCAATGCACAGTTCAAGAAGCAACCTGGTTTGGGATTTACATATCTCATCCTAGGATTAGCATATTTTATCTCGTTTATGGGTGAAGACAGTCACGACAATAGGCACAAAGCAACATTACAGAACTTGTCTTTACACAGGAAGCTTCTGATTCACAGTAGTTCAGTTACAACCTTCCTAAAGATTTGTGATGTTCAAGCCTCATCAAATCAGTGAAAATGCGTATATTAAATGTTTCTCTGGGTGATGTAAAGCCCATTTGTTATAGATTTATTACTGTTAGTCCTATTTGATATATAAAGTAGATATTAATATACTTTATATCTGTAACATTTTCCCCCTGAGAAATTCAAAATGCTTTCTAAGCATAAATAGAGTAAGTTACTTACCCAGAATCATACAGCAAGTCCTTGGCGTATTTTACTAATGAAATCTAGGTACCTATGAGTCTCTGTCTGTGTTTTCATCACAAGTCCATCCAGATTTCCTCTTTTTGTGGAACCTTTAGTGAGACAGCAGGTGTTTTATAGATTTATAGACTCTTTTTTTCATCCATCATATTGTTTAGTGTTCCTCACCACTTCTGCTCACATGCATGGTTCTTTGAATCTTCTCTTTTAAATGTTCTCCCAAGGTTATCTTGTGTTTTGTTTCTCTTTTCCTCTCCCTGAATTCTCTTCAATACGGTTCTTTCTATCATGGTATTTATATGACCCCTATTACTGTTGTATCTGAACAGGTCACTATCTTTAATAATATTTGGTGGAGAAGTTCTGTTCTTCCTGTTTTATGGACGATGGATTTATGAGTTTTACTTTGGCGAAATGAAATTCAAGGCACATGGGAAGTCTGTGGCAGGGATATTTCTAGAACTAATTTGAAGATGACACAGTGCTTGACAAAGCTGTTTTACAGCACAATTATATCATAAGATAATCCATTCAAACAAAATGTGTTTTAGTACTGCCAAGTATGCAAGACCACATGTGCAGGTTATGCGTCCAAAGTGTAAGACTATTGTGAAAAGCAGTTTGGAAAGCATTTGTCAGGGTGAAGTCATAGTGGTAACCACTTCAATTTGGGCTTCCAGTGCTATTCTGATATTAAAAAAAAAAAAAAAAAAAATTAGGGGCTCAATGTGTTGTCTTTTATCATAATTTTATCATTAAAAAACTGGGAGATGACCTGGTTGTGGTGGGTCAGTATCTTTGCAAGGATAGGGAAGATACTGGAGGGATTTCCAAACTAGAGGACAAAACTGTAATAGATGCAACTGCTGCAGAATAAATCCAGATAAATTCAAATTTAAAAATATTTAATTTTTCAATGAAAATATAATTCATCATTTAAACAAGCTTCTAGGGAGAGAGGTGAGCTCTCCATCACTATCTCCAGACATAGACTTTTCTGGAAAATGTTCTTGTTTCTCAAGTTACTAACCTCAGTTGAAGGGATGACTGAATAAAATAATGCTGATGTTATATAAATAGTCAGACTGTATGAGGTAATGATCTTTGGTTTTGCCTTAAAGTGTAGGTAACTGCTTGTACAGATATTTTTCAACTGTGGATTGAACTTGTTTATTTTTGTGCTGAAGCCTAGAAATTGTATGAAGCCTTCAGTGCATCCTACTGCCCACTGCTGGACTGCAACCTCAGAAGTTTACATGGGCTGTAAAGAAGGGTATGTTTTGGCAATTGATGCTGGGACATGCAATGTTTCTGTTCTTCAACAAAAACCTTTACCTGGTAAGAAATAGCTGTGTTATGTGTTTTATTCAAGTAGGGAGAAAAGTGGGTAGGTGAAAGTTTTTTTTACTTTCTTCTGTTCTCCTATTATGTACCTTACAGAAATTGTAAAGCCATATTTCATTTATTAGTATGATAAACATTTGAGAATTGAACTTTTGTGTGGGTTTCTTTAGAACCCAATAACTGGCTTTCATTTTTTTTTGGCAAAAAAAGAGGTTAGCTCTAAATACATCAAAACTGATAAAATGAACAATAGCTCCAGAAGTCCAGATCTTATTAATCAGCACTACTAGATTAACATTAAACTATTAATATATGAGCTGTACACAGTATTTTTACTATTAATTAAGTACCAAGAATTTATTTTATTTTCATAAAATATTGCATTGTCCTCATTTGGTATGTTAGATAATGTTAGAATAGATCTTTGAAGACTCATGATAAGTCTTCAAAGAACAAAACTGAATTTCGTGTAATGTTGCTTAACAGAATTCCTTAAGGTCAGCTCTTACACAAACTATTTTCTAAGGAAAACAAGGCTGTAAAGACTATCAGGCTTTCCTGCAGAAAGTATGAAGCACAGAGAGTGAATAGAAGATGTCTTTGGCTTCAAACAAAGAAATCTGCTTTTAATTTATTCTAGAATGGGAGGACTCGGTACATGTCCCTCAGATTGACTGCAACTGGCTGAGGCGATTTGTCTTCCCTATATATATTCACACCTGGCTTTTTTCATGGAGACCTGTGGCAGACTAGTGGCTGACTAAAGTTTTCTGGCAACAGCAGCCCATTCTATGACGCCTTTTTTTTGAAAATCCTGAGGTCTCTCTCCTGCTACTTGCCACATGCTACCCTTCTGTGTCCTTTCAGAAGGCTCCCAAGATGGAGGACAGTGAGACACAGCCAGCATAAAGTGTTGACAATGGCAACCTGTAGCTTATCATCGTTTGCAGGGGTGGAAGGTGTCAATCCTACTGCCCATGTGAAGTTCACTGGTTCAGTCAGGTCTAAGAGGAGTACTGCTTATCCCTAGCACTAAAACTCAGTAATATCCTGCTGTAGACCAGCATAGAACTGTTTCTGTAATAAACACTGAATCAGTGTTAATAGACAGACTGGTAATAATCTTATTTTCTTCTTTTGCCGTGTAATACATTATTTTTTAAGCTGTAGCAAGTATCCCTGGCTTTCTCAAAGTACTGTGTCTCTGATAAATTTTGATACTTAACACAGAAATGGAAAGCTGCTCTTAAAAAAACCCCACAAACCAGCATTATTTCTCTGCTTTTTAAATTATCAGAGTGTTAAGTTTACCAAATCAAGAGTTGGAAATCATCAATAAATAAAAAGCTGAGGTGTGACCAGAGATGCTTTTGCCAGTTCAGTAGAAGGCAACAAGAATATTTGCCTTTTGGGCTTTTCCTTGACCTTCATATTCTTCTTTGAGTCCTGTCCTAAAACTGTGTAACAAAATTGTCTGTATTCACATCATGCTGAAGCTTCTGCTTAATTTAAAATATACTGCAATCTGTATCTGTTTAGGAAAAAGCTTACGTGCATGTCCAGCTTTAAGAACATGCTGAATTCCTGTTACAGTGTTGCAAACAGAATCATAAGCAGCCACAACATTTCACTTGGGCTTTTTTTTTCAGACTGGCTGAAGTTTCCTTTGTAAATAAATCAAACTAAAAAATCGTGGTTAGAAATAACAGTACCAGAACTTAGCACTAGGAGATAGATAAACCTGTATCTGTACCACCCTCCATGCCAAGTATTGCTGTCTCCCTTTTACAGCTGTAAGCTGAATCACAGAAAGACTGTGCCTGCTCAGTTGTATAAATGACATAAATGGTGGATATTGGGGAATAATGCACGTTTTTGACTCAGTATACTGAACCTGGCCTTTTGTTCAGTAGACTGGCATACAACTGACTTATTGCAATATTGACATATAAACAAGGTTGACATTATAAATTGTTTTCTTTTGTGCAGAATACATGCGTAAAATATCGGACGTGGTGTCATATGTTCGTAGAGAAGTACAGAAAAAGAAAGGTATTTCCATGTTCAAATTATGCTAATAGGTTTTTAGGCAGCAGCAGTGATGTCTGGGAAGAATAATATGTAAGTACAGCTGGAAGCCACTGGTAGAAAAACTCAGCTTGTACTGCCCTCTAAGACATATTGATGGCAACCTTTTATGTGTTTACATGATAAATGATTAATAGCTTTTGTGCTAATAGACAGCCAAATGAATAGCCTCAGGAGAAATACTGGCAGTGAAATAATTTTTGTTCATTCTAATATAAATTGGAATAAGTGGTGCTAGAATAGGTTCCCTACTGCTTAGTTTTAGCAACTATTTTTAGAACTGCAATCACTTGTAATTTAGCTGAGTTAGGATTTAAGGGTTTCTTTCAAATACTTTGTTTTAGGCTCCACAGTACAAAAAGCTTTCACATAATGGACAAAGTTCAGCACAGGGCAACAAAGATTGTTGCAGAGTCTGAGTACTTGACATAAAGAGATGGGCTAAGACAACTGTTCAGCCTAGAGAAAAGGAAATGGGGGATTTTATTATTTCTTCAGCTACTTAATGAAAGGTTACAGAGAAGATGGAACCAGACAGGCAAAGGACACAGTTTGCATCAACAGAAATTCTGGGTAGACATTAGGAAAAAAAATACTTTCACAGTGAAGGGAGTCAGACGTTGGGACAAGTTGCCCAGAGAAGCTATGGAATTTCCATTCCTGTGGATATTCAGAGCTCAGCTGGTATATGGACCTCTGGACAACATGATCTAACTTTGAAGTTGGTTCTGAGTTTGAAGTTGGCTCTGTGCTGAGCAGGAGGTTGGATCAGAGGACTTCTAGGGTCATTTCTAACCTAAATGACTTTGATTCTGTTATTGATTAACTTTAATATGGCTATTTAGCAGCCTTTACAGAATCAAATGATTTCTCAAATTAATTTCAGGTTCATGAGACCACAGTAGCATTGTCACTTCAAATTATGTATACCAGCCTTTTCCTTCATTATTGCAGCAAAAAGTCCAAAGAATATATAGCCCATGGAGCCTTTTTACTCACAAATAGTACATCATCCCAGATTTGAAGTTGAGACACATTGTTGCAGTAAATTAAATTTTCTACGTTGGTTTTGTGCTCTCAGGTGGCAAACCAAAGGATCTGCAAAAAACAGGTTTATTTTCCATGGCATTTTGTAATGAAGGACTGTACGCTGCTGGAAGTGTAAGGCATCCTTTATGCTTTTAACTTACTCTTATTGTGTGAAAATTAAAAAACATTCAGATGGAGTATGTTTGCAGAGTTCATGGCAGAGAGAGACAGGCATTATAAAAAAGTGGAGGGCTGCAGAACTATAAAGGTCCTCTCTGTGTTGTATATATTTACTTTGTTAAGACTTGACACAAGAAATCAGAAGGGGGCAGGGTGGGAAAAGATTCCATTTTTCTAGTCAAAGCAGCAACAAAAGAGGACAATTGTATTTTTAACAAAAGACAAAGTATTCTAGATGAACAGAAAAGAAGGATAGACAAAAAAATAGGAAAGGACAGAAAATGGCCAAGAGAACTGCCAAATTGTTCTGTGCAAAATCCAACTCAATATTTAACCGAAAATGATGATGCCATTGTACATGACTGCTTGAGAGTAGGACAAATTCTTATACTGTCTCAAAAAAAACGAAGATGAAATTTTAAGTATTAACTGATGAGAGTCTGTTGTTATCAAACATGGACTGTTACTAAGACTTGCATTAAGGAACACTTTCATTGTTCAATAGATTTATTATCCAGGATAAGAGTCCTCTGGATTAAACATACTTAAAGGCAAATGAAACTCTTAGTGATGGGATACAGTTAAACACTGTTACTTTAGAGATTTTCAGAGTTCTTGCAGTTCATTTTGCCAGAGTGGGCTAGGATAAATGACCTAGACCTGATGTGGATTTGTACTTTTCTGCACAGGAGGGCATTTTATTCTTTTATCACATCAAAGGTCTGCAGTACGAGATGAAAACCTGCGCTGATATCTTACAACCCATAACCAGCCTCATATTCTCTCCTGATTACACTGTACTTCTGCTTATTACTGACCAGGTATAGCATTTGAGATAATAGCATTATGTAATGGGACATTCTTGTGATTCTGTATGTGTATGCTGATACTATTAGTATGAAATGTCGGTAATGTTATCACACAAGTCAACAAATTATATCAGAGGTGAACTCAGTCCATCTTGTGTTTTTAATGAAAGATTGGAAAGACTTTTAATGAAGCACAGAACGATTGTCTCCTACAGATGGATTATAAAGTACCTCATGCTTAGATTTCCCAACAGAAATACTTGTGTGTATACAGTGGAGTACATGTTCAGCATCTCCAGTGTATCCAGGTCATGTGGGGCCTACTGAGCATGAGCTCTAGACTTGATGTGTGCCTGCACAGTACGAAAAGTGTAGCTTGGGTACATCAGACCTACTGTGACTAAGCAGTAGAGTTGTTCTGTACATGTACATGAGTTTGGCAACCCAGTCCAAGATCCTTCTTTGACCAGCCTGATGTCCATAAATCTTACACAAAGGTCCCAAATCCTCAAATTACACCTGTTCTTCTAGACCTTTAATAATTTAAATTGGTATTTTTAAAGCTCTTCAGATGTTTTTATAATGTGTGTGTGTGAGAGGAGGTTCTGGGTTCAGTACAGCAGTGCAATGGTAACTCTGGTCACACTCTCTCTCTGGTTTCATTCTTCTTTTGCAAAACGAGTAGAGAAGTTCTAAAACCCTTGTCAATGAATTGTTTCTAAGAGGCTTTGAGATCTTTAGATAAAAACAACTCTTAGAGCTTAAGATTTATGATTTATGCTTTATGTTGTTTTAGAATATTTATTGATTCCTGGAGTAACATGAAATAGGGTGGTTTTAAATTATTTTATTAAAACAATTTTGAGAAACAAAACTTCTTGAAAATGTGACTAGCTGGATCACTCTAAAATGAACTAACCTGATCTTCAGCTAGTGTAAATTAATATAATCCACTAAATTCAGCTGAATTCTGCTGGGCACCTTTTACTTCAGTTTAGAGTAAAATATAATACGTTAAAGAGTGAGGCTCAGAAAGATACATATTTTTTGTTGAAGTCTTTGAAAGCCTTTACTGAAAAGCTTCATATCCCAGTGATGAATTATTTCTCTTTATTTGTCAGGGGACAGTCTATACTTACAAACCTGCCCACAGTGGAGAAGCTGTCAAACTCTTGGACACTTGCAGCAGTTGTTTTCTGGCAGCTGATTTTCTTACTCCAGGGAACAAGTACTGTGTGGTAAGAAATGGTATTCTTTGTTATATATAATAGTGGCTCTTTTCAGGTAACCAATATGTTGCTAAGGCACAAAATCAAAAGTCTTACAGAGATTGGAACTCTCCTGATATTTGTTACAGTTGTGTAACTTCTCAATAAAGAAGTAAATGGCATTAATTCAGGTATGGGTCTTTAAAAGGGTCAGAACTTGCCCTAGAATGCAGGGTGGATAATTCACAGATTGCTACAATGTCATATTGGTTCTGCTGTTGATTTGTGTGACTCACTATTGTTCAAGTAGATAGCTAAGCATAAAGGTGGTTTCAATTCAAAGCATAGACGTTGGAACAAGAAATTCCTACTGATCTTTTCAGCCTTGAGCACGAATTGGAACAGCCTGAGAGATGCCTCTATCCTGGGTCCAGGGACAAAGAAGGCCTTACTCATGGTTCTGTCCATTCTGAGAAATTCCTTGCTTTCCTCCTATGCCTTTGACTCCTGCAAGACATATATTTTAACAAGCAAGTCTGATTCATCTCCAGGCCATGAATTCTTCAAGTAGCCAGCCTAGCAATCCTGAGGTCTTAGTCAGCTAGTTTTGCTGAATCTGTTTGTTTGTTGTTAGCACGGGAATGATAAATTTTACCAGACTGTGAATGAGTAATGTGAGGGTTGATTGATCTTTAGCCATACTTTACTGTGGAATTACAAAATTGCCTGCATATAAGAAGAACTCAAGCACCATTATGATATGCATCATTTTTGATGTGAGAAAACAAGACCCCTCCTGAAGGCCTTTTCTATGCAAAGAAAATTATAAGCACGTTTTTCTATTGCTGGCTGAATGGTGGAAGTGCTCATATTGATCAAGCTTCCATGTTTTGCCCTAGATTGTCCCATTCTGCTTAAAGACCATTGCTGTAGTTGCAGCAATTCACAAAAAAAAATATTAAACATTTTGCTTAGGGAGGTGTACCCTTGCAGCAACTGGACTTAAACCAAAAACAAGATAATTCCAAGCAAAACTATTAATCTTTTATCTGCTACACTCAGACATTAGTTGAATTTGCGTTGTATAGAAGATCACTAGTCATTTCCAGACTGTTTGGTTATTTCACCCTCTTTTGACTATGTTTTTTTTCTGTTCATCAGTCTGTAACAATTTCAGGTGAAGTGCAAGTTTGGTTCCTGGAAGATGGGACTTGCCTGAGCAAGCTAAACCTTGATATTGAGGTACACATAACCAGGAGCTTATGTAGTGACTAATAGTTAAAATTTTCTTTAATGTTTTTCAGTTCATAGCATAATATTCCGCTGATTTGGATCAACCAGTGCTGAGGAGAGCTCAGTAGTGTCTTTGAACAACCTATGAAAGAGATGTAAAAAATACTATCTTTCAGAATGTTTCCTTAAACTAATCATGTATTTAACTTGGCCATAAAGCAGAGGAAACATTTCAACCTAATGTACTAGTGATGTGTCTTTAGGCATATGTTTGTAAATAAAAATCTAAATTTTTATATTACTTCATTACTTTTTTTTAATGAGTGTCAGAACTGAAAGGAAAATTTTCGAGTGTATAAAAACTAAATGCTTTGATTGATCTGAAAAACAGGTTTTTGGAATTGAGTTGATAAAGGTATTTCAAACTGTTAATGCTTTGTCCTGATTTAAGATGCATTCAAACCCTGAAATCTGGCCTAGTACGAAAAAATCCCTTTCTGTAAAAGCTGTACACATAACAGTGTACTCACTGTTTTATTTACATGGAACCTCTTTCACTTAAAATGTGGATAAGTGGATATAATGTTTTTTTTCTGAGGAGTGCAGTATTAGCTTTTGATATGTAGATGCAGAGCACAGGTAAAAATGCCTATGTCTCTAAAATCCTTTCTTTGTTAAAAGAAAAAGTTTTTTAAATAAATCACTTGGGGTTTCTTCTCCAAATTTTAGGGACTTCTAAATAGTAAAAGAAATTGCATACTAACATACAGCATAATACATAAAATGATATGTAACTGTTAAGTATCTTTTACTTCTCAACTAGGCAACTGCTATGGCTTGCTGTCCCTCCTCCAGCAGTGTTTCTGTAGGGACCAAAAGTGGTCAAATCTATTTCCTTGATGTTACCAAAGCTGAAGCTCCCCGGGTTGTTCACAGAATTTTTCTTTCCAAATTTCCAGTGCTGTCTTTGCAGTAAGTATGTAGTAACAAGGGCAGGAATATTGTCAATTTGTTGCTTGAGTAATGCTTCTAGTTGAATAAAAAATTTGAAGTTTTTATTCAAAAAATAACAAAGTAACATATTTTAACAGCTTCCATTTTTTTCCAACGTATTCTGAATTGCTTGCAAGAGGAAGAGTAGGAAGATTTATGAGAGAAATATAATTAATATACATTAATAAAACTTAATGTATTTTAAGAAAGTTTAACCAAGCATTGAAGATAGTGATGTATAAGATCCTTTCTGACAGATCATCATATGCAGTCATTATGCACAGTTCCATGTATCTGAATTTAGAGGATTATTTCTCACTGAATAAAAATTTGAGGTTTTGTGAAGTTAAACTTAAGCCTTTTAGTTATCCCTTCTTAGATGGTGGATTTTTATTACCATTGTTAATTATTCATTTGCTTACAATTCCAGAATTTACCAGCCCTCATGAAATTAGCTCTAGTGATCCGGAAGGCTTTTTTTGTTTGGTTGTGGTGTTGGATTTTTTTTTTCAATTATTGAAAAGTACTAAGAGTATTTTACTTCTACTTTTTAAAAAATAGAATAGATTTTGAACTGTTAAGCTTTAGTATGAATCTGTCTGTTATTTGGAGACTCAGATGGAATCTCTTTTCACAGTTACCTAAGACAAAACATTAAAAATATATACAGAAAGCAACTTGTTTGAAGTCAAATCAATGCAAAGACATGTCTATTCAAAATAATATCAAAATCTCTTTAGTGGTTTTATTTTTAAAAAAGTGAACTTCAAAGAAAGATTTAATAAAGTTGTTAACATAGACTGCTATGGAGTATCATTAGCTTTAGATTGACCACCCAGTCAATTAGAAATTGCACTCATAGCACTGGGCTTTATATCAGGCCCTAACCCTGTAAACCTAGAAGGTAAAATTTCAGTTGCATTTATGTCCTCAATGAAATAATCAGAGTTATGGGAGTGGAATTATTTGACCCTTTTTATTGACTGTATTGAACTGTTTTCTACTCGGATTTATATTTCACCTAGTTATGATCAGAGTGGCCAGTTCCTCATTGCTAGAGCTACAGAAGGACATATCTTTATTCTAGATGCCCGACCTTCAAAATTATTCCAAGTTCTTGGATACGAAGGTAATATATGTAACAACATTAATTACATTGTGTTTTCACTATTTACTGTATTTTAGGTACACTTGCTGGTCAGACTAAGCCACTCTCCTTCATTCTACTTATTTTTCAGGAGGACTAAACATATTCTTCCCACCCATTTCCCAACCATATTTTGTCCTGGCCAATCTTTCTTTTTTCCCCTCTGTAATTTTAGTTAGCAAATACATCAGTGTTACTTTTCATCTAGGGCATGTATAAGTCACAGGGATGAGAATGGACCAACTGATCACAACTCCAGCACAAAAGTAATAGTGCTGGCAAAGAATTTAAGACCTTTGTGGCTTGCCATATGGGAACTTAGACTGAAAAACTGTAGGTCATGATAGCTGTGTGCCATCCTCCATTACAGACATCAGCCCCAATCTCCTGTTACAGGTGTCCACCCCGGACATCTTTAACATGCAGACTGCTGAAACTTTTAGCTTTGCTGGTTGATACTGAAGAATAAAAAATGATGGAATTTTACCTTACAAAAAAATTCTTCTGAAATTTGTAAATTGGTTTATGCGGTTTCTCAATTCCCATGACATTATACTTACAGATCACATCTGTGCATATATATCTTCATCATAATTTTAAGTATAAAGGATTTTTTTATCATTTTTATTGGTTTGACAGATATAGGATTACATCTTCTTAGATAATTTTCAGAATTTACCTGATCATGTTCTCCTTGTCTTCCTGGCTTCTTAAAGGAGGGCTTTTCTGTGCATTATCTGGTGGTTTTTAGCAGACAGTCTCAAAACTGCTACAATTCAAGCTGAATGTAAACTCAGATTTGAATGTTTAACGTAATAATAGCATTCTCAGCACCTGATGCCTCAAGCTGAAGTTGTGTGCATGCAGCACTTTCTGAAACCTGGTTGTGGCTTGTCTGACATTTTAATGCAAGTTCAAAACTGTGTGGTTGAGTTGAGATGTATTCTGAACAGGTATCTCATTTTGTTTCACATGATATCTTAGTAAAAATTATGTTACCATAATTCAGTAACAATTTGCATTGGTGTTCCCTACCTGTTTCAGTGTTGGCAGATGAAATGCTGGGTCTTTCTGTAATTTCTGACTTCAAGGATGACTTAGTTGAAGTGATGGTGCTTCTTAATGTAGCAGAGATCCAGCGAGCAAGACTGGAAATTTTTTGTCTATCTTCTGCACTCACAACAGGTAAGAACTGTTGTGTCACATATATACTATGTGACATTTTTCTAAGGCAAGAACATATTATTGTCATCCTTTAACGCAAAATACTAACAATCTTAATCTCTTTCTTCATCTCATCTGTACATTCTCCTGGGACACCATTTCTCATACAGCAGTGTGGAGACTTACAGTCAGCTGAATCATTTTAGCAGAACGACTGTGGTATTTTGAGGGAAAGCCAAGGAAGGAAGAAGTAATTCACTGGCAGAATCACAAAGCCACTGCTTAACTACTACTACTGGTTGTTGCTGTTGTTATTGTTATTATTATTACTACCATGTAGACAGTGCCAAAAGCCAGCCAGAAAGAGGCCTTGTGCTTGGAATCACCCATATGCAGATTAGCCTATCAGGTGTTCAAAGTGGAATGAATCACACCAGCCTCTTCAAGTACTTTTTATAGGTATATAGTAGCTCATTAGGAAAAGGTTAAATGTTGATACATCTCAAAAAATAATTATTTCCTGTGTTTGTTACTGCTTTTCTATATAAAAGCACCAAGGAAAAAGTCCACTGTATTTAGAAAATATTAACGTGTATCCCAATAAGTAATCTTACAGAGAAACATTCTTTGAAAAAATCAACACTATGAAGAAAATGGGAGAATTAAGGAGACTTAAGAATGGCATACCTCCATTCACCTTCTGGAAATCTGGCCTTGTGTACCTGCAGCGTGCAATGTGCATACTGGGACATGACAAAAACTCTATTCATAATCTGGAAGTAAAATGAAGGGAACCTTTCACTAAATTGGGTAATACATGCTAAATTCTCAAATACTGTTCATGATTTTTTTTATATACGCCATCCTCAACTGTGAAACAACTCAGTAATTTGTGTCATTCAGGACACAGCTATAATATCATAGCATTTTAGAAGTACTATAAGTAAGAAAAAATGGAACTGAGTGCCATGAGTGATCACAGAACTTTTAATTGTGTCTGGAATTCTATTCTGTATTCTAGGAATATCTAAAACTGGTATTCTAGGAATGCATTGATTTGGGGCACTTTCTGAAATCAGCTGGGCAACTAATTCAGTTGTCGTGAAAGGGCTTAAGTGCATTAACTTAACTAAGGCACAGTGCAGACTAATGTTGTGCTTGGTGTCCTAATCATGCAGCCAGCAAAGGACAGCAGGACAGGCTTGGTTGGCAGTGGCACCATGCACTTCCAGTTTTATGTCTCTTCCACCTAAGAATTGCCAAATCAATATAGTTTGAGGTTTCAGTGATGTCTTCTGTCTATCACAGCAACAGGCATCCTATGTTCATTTTTAACATCACACTATTTTTATATCATTTTACTCACATTATATGCAAACAAATTACTAACAAAGCCTTCTGTGGAGAAAACCTCTGTAAAACTGTTGGTAAGCCTAGTGTCAGATTTTCTAGTTATTTACATATAATTTTGTATTGGGTTTGCGTGGCAAGGTTTTGGTAGCGGGTCTTACAATTTACAAACTTTTTTAAAAACAATTTTCAATGCAGTTAGTGCTTTCTTTAAATATTCACTAATGTTGGTCTGCTTTTTGTGCCCAATTTTAGACATATAAAATTGGCTTGATTTTCAAAGTTGCTGAAGACCTACAGTTATTTCAACAGTCTTAGTTTCAGGTGTCTCTTTAAAGCTGAAATTAGGCAACCAAAAAGAATAAAATGCCCTTTTGAAGATGTGAACTTAAGTGTTTTAACCAATACCACCCAGGTTGTGTGTACTTCATGGCAGTGATGCCTAAACAAGTTCTAGATGAAAGCAATGATGACATGAACCTCTATGCAAACTAATTAGCACTGCTTACAGAATACCCAAGAAGCAGGGTAAATTTGTGTATACAAATTGTCACATGACTGTGGCTAAACTCTTTAGAGCCAATAGAGCTATCTTTCTGCTTCACTGCAGTGTGCTAGATCAGCATAACCCACAGTTAGTGTTAAAGCTAGGTATCTTAATTCCCAGTCTCCTCCTTGAAAACTCACATCACGCTCACTCCTTCCTGAGATTGGTTTTCATAATTACTTGATAGGTGAAGCACCTGCTTTAGTGGTAGTGATGCCTCTTCTTTACTTTTTCTTTTTTCTATCTTCTAGATAATGATAAGTATGTTAATGAACAAGGAATGCTTAATGCTAGTGCCATTAAAAAGAAGCAATATGATCTGGATTACCCTTTGAGCTCAGCAGTCAGATTGAAGGATAACATTGTGTATGGCTACTGTACCTGTGCACCTTTCATCTGTAAATACCATCTCTCTGAAGAGGTAATTCTCTGAAGCTGATTTATTTTGAGTGGTGGTTAAATACCAGCAAACAAAGGCTGTAGATGAAGTGAATATAGCAGGATATTAAAAAAATCCTCTCTGCATTGAAAATATCTACTCCATCCATAAACATCAACTTTCAGTATCCTACCACCTGCTCAGAAACCTGGCAAAAGCAATCTCCTTGTTCCATTTGCAGGAAAGCCTAATACTGGTTCTTTAAACTCATGCAGCTTGCAGACACTTCACATGTAGCTCCTCTGTTGGAGCTGTGCTTTTGTGCAGTCTGATGAGTAACCTGAATATTCAGCTATTGAAGGAACTGAGCCAATGTGAGCCCATGACTCTAAGACACAACTGCAAACCCAACCCAGCTCTGCCTTGCAATGAAGTAGTGGGGGCTTCAGGAAGCCACTGTCATCGACTGCTGATGATCTGGAGCTCTCTGCAGCTCATAGGTTTCCCTCAGTTTAAGAGTCAGGTCAAGCAAGAAGGTGAATTCCAAAAGTGAGCATATCTCCTTGACAAGTCCCATACTTTCTAAGCAAAGAAACTCCAGGCCCAAACATAATCAATACAGACCCTTTTGAAGAGATGAGAAGCAAATCAGCAGCATAGCAATGGTACTGCTTCCTGAGATCAGTTATCTAACAACATTTTCAATTGCAACACGTGTAATAACCCACAAAGCTATCATTAGTCTTCCCAAAATGGCATAGATATTTCCATCATCTGAATTGCTGCTAACATTTTGTTTGTTTGGCAGAATATGTTGGAAGATCCATCAGTATTTTTATCAGAAAAGAGGACACCTAGCAATCAGTTTGGATCAGGGTACCTCTGTTTATCACCCAACAGCCGGTGGCTGGCATCAGCAGCAAAGGATGGTGTTTTGTTCATCTATCATACTTTTACTATGGTAGGTAGGCAGGCATCCAGGCACAGGCTTTGTTTAGTTTACATGAGAAAGAGGTGTGAAAGCTACTTTCTTTAACTGTAAGCTTTTCTTCACTTGAATATAGGGTGTTCCAGAAAACTTTATGTTGAACGTGAACTGACACGGCATTATACAGTACAATTGTTTTTATAATGAATGTGTATATACTCATACAAACTACTTACTTTCTTCTCCAGTAAATCTTAGATAATTTTACTGCTTTTCTTTATCTCCTGCAAAATCAATATACTAGAACTTGCCCTGTTTGTAGTAAAAAATTATAAAATCCTAAATCGTAGTCTTTTATATACTTTGTATTGACATTTTGGATTGACTTTTATCTAAAAATAAAGAAGCATAATTTACAGGCTTATTTCATTAGAAAAACCTGCTTGTTGATACTGTTTCTGTGACTTTTCTAGGATATACTTGCCCAAAAGCATTGTCACTCATATCAAGGTGGGGGAATCAGATCTGTGGTATTTTCACTGGATGGCAGATTCATCCTCATTAATGGCGAGAACGATGGTGCCCTGGTGTGTCTGAAATGGAAGTATGTATAATGTGGCAGACCAGTATTGGTGGTGTAAATTCTTGTATCCTGACAGACTAATTTTTGCATCTAATTGTGATTCTAGACTTCCTTTTTATTAGTCTCAAAGTAAGGAGAAGAATTAGATAGAGATAAAATCACTGCTCTCATCTTTAGAGGCTGTCTCCCTAGTTCATGAAAAGCTTCCCACCATTCTTGTGGGGTATGTCTTGTACTTCAGGTGTGGTTGCAATACAAGATATAGGAGTATCTTCTGATAAGTATTAGCCATACTGAGCTTCTTATCACTCTCAAACCATCTGGAAGAGAATCTCTGGGGATGTAAGGGATGTGATCTTATGAGATACTATTTTAACTCAGCTATTAGGAGACATCACAACTTTAATGGAAATTCAGCTGTGGCTCTAGACAGCTCTTAGCAGACTTTAGGAGTAAGAGACACTTGAAACTACAACTTTTATGTGGTATAACAAATGTTCAGGTAGATGCACAGATTAAAGAGGACTCTGCCAGAGCAATATTCCTAATCTGGGTAGTCCATCTATCAGAATTTTTAATTCTGTGGAAACTTCACTTAATTATTTAATTCTAGAACTCAAACAATATTGAATTATATGTAAAAATATTGAATAGGCATTTTTAAACAACTTGATAATTGTGTTCTAAAGGATATTTAATACTTCATCCTTTCCATAATACACAGAAAATGTATCAGCTCCCTTTCTGTTTACTAGGAAGATAAAGAAAATGGAAGTTGAGGAAGCTGCTTTTCACTGGCAATCTCTTCTTGCTATACTCAACCAGACTATTTCAAATGAAAACGTTGCTTTAAAATCTATGACAGAATGGCAGTTTGACCCAGAAGCCACTTTGGGATCACTTCCAGAAGAGAAATTTAAGGTGTTTTCTTTTATTTTTATGGGGGGGAGAAAGCGTGATCATTATCCTAAGATTACACATGATTAAAACTGTCCTCAAAACAAACTCTGATCCTTTTGTATAAAGTAGAAGAATACCACTCAGGGTAGGCTGAATATGCTTAATTATTAATTTGTGGAATAGTATTATCAAGGCAATGGAATAGTTATGGGAAGACGACATTCACATCTTCAATTTCACTTGATTTCTTCAGCCACAGAGAACTCTATGAAAGTCAGTTTCTCCTGATGTGAAGTTATGTGTCATTCCCAGTGTGATGTTGCTCCTACACATTGTGGTTACTAGTTATATATTTTTCTGTTGAAAACACAAAGCAGTGATTACAGAAATTAGTACAGTCAGCCTGTTTGAGTCAAAAGGCTTTGCATAATAGCAAGGATTTGCAGGATCAAATCTGGGTACTGGTTAGGGAACAAAATTGTTGTAACACTCTGGAATGTGGTGGTGGTGGTGCTTCTAATGCGAGTCCATTTTTTTTTTTTTCCTGTCTCTCTCTCATTATAAGTACCTGAGGTGGATGATTATATCCTTAATTTCAGGAGGCACCACTTAAATCTTCCAATGTAGAGGTGACAGAAGAAGATGGAAACGTCACCAGTTTGTATTCAGACAGTACCAACGAAATTACATGGATAGGTCAGAAAATAAGGAAGGTACTTTCATAGAACAAATATTAATCAATACCAGAGTTTTCAAGAGTCAGTAGTGATTTGGGGTGCAAAATTATATGCTGTAAAGGAATCTAGTTTGTGAAGCTTTTCTGGCATTTGGACCTCTCTAAGGCATTGCAATCTAGACTTCTAGAAATCCTAGGTCAAGGTTATAAACACATCAGAGTAGGTACCTAGGACAATAGGAGCTCTAAAGACCAAAAGACCATTTCTACACAAGGACTAAACAAAACAAACTAGAGAAATTGGCTTCCTTTAGAAATTCAGAAAGACTTTTTTCTTCTAAATGTCAAAAAGTTGCACAGAAGATTATTACCAGAAACCAAGCAAGTGCTCTCTTCTTCCCAAGGGCCAGAATAGCAAATTCTACAGCACTGATAAATCAATAGACAACAATATGCCATTAATTACAAAATCCCTGAGGTTTATTTAGGTTAAGGTTGAGGTGAATATGTTACATAACCGAAGTTTTTTGTAAGTAAAAGTGCATCAAAGATCTGTCTACTGAGAGGGGATTTAGTACTTTGTGAGCCTGGAAACTGCTATGTTAATGTTAGTATAGATTATTTTTTTCCCAGAAATATGAATTATGGATGCTAGCAGGTTCTTTTGGGTGTGAACCAGAGCTGTGTATTCTGTCCAGCTTTTGGGGTTCAATGATGGGACAAAGCAAAATGTCATTGCTTTCTGAGTGATCTCAGGAATGGCTTTCCAAATTATGATGCAGTTTCACTAGTGGCTCAAGTCAATCTAAGACATACTGCCACTGAAAGTGGCATCTTCTCCATCCCTCTCCCAGACACCTGTTTCTGCTTTGATGCTGGCATTCAGGCTTTGGTGTCTCTATTGGGAATTTTTGGCAAATCCATGTGACTGTGCATACACACTAGGGACAAGTGGTAAGAAGCAAAAATTGAAGGGTGGCAATATGGTCCTAGGTTGTTCTAAGCTGCTCATTAATGTCCTAAGAGACTGTATCTGATTTTTAGAGGATGGAGTCCATTCAACGTCAGAATGATACACCCCTTCCTTTCAATCAATAGCCATCATCCTATTTGAAGTTGTAAACTTCAGGAAGCAAATTCCAGAGATGCAGACTAATTGCAAAATTTTCCCTAAGATAATTGACAAGGAGGCATAGAAAATTTTCTTGCTTCCAGAACGACTATCAGATGTTAGTTTACTTGTGTCTTTAAATATCCCACTGGAAATGCTTAGTGACAATGAACAATCTAAGGAATATAAAACACTTAACAAATTCTGGCAGTAGGCTTTACCCAGTTCAAGGTGTCTGTGCTAATTTCATTTGCAATGAATTCTTTCTTTAATATTTTCTTTCTTTTAAGCTGTATTGCCATACAACCAGTTTACAATGTGACCTGGTTGTACAATTTTTTTCTCTTGAGCAATTCTAAGAATCATCCTATTGAATTAGGATTATGTCTGTTTCAGCTATTAATCCCTTTGGAGTTTTGTTTTCTGTACAAATAATGTTCCTTTAGATTATTTCAATCTTTTTTTCTCTTCTTGTCTATTTCTGTCTTTCAAAAATATATTTGTTGTATGTCAGGTCATTAGAGAAGAGACTCAGAGGTTTGCTAACCAGAAGAAAGAGCTGCAAATGGGAATTAAAAAGCTGCGTAAATCTGTGAGTTTCTTACAAGGGTAATGGCTCAGCTTACCAGTTTTCGTTTACAAGTACGCTTCCTTTATGGCTATCAGCTCTAGCGCTCAGTAGCATTTTTGCCATAAACTCTGAGCAGACAGGTAATAGAGAGATGTGCTTCTTCAGGGACTATATGCTGAACCTGTCAGGAACTACTGTCTGGTTCTCAGTTTCCTTTGCTCCAAATAAATATTTTGTGCCACCCTCACACCTTCAGCAATCTATCCCCTCAGCAGGCTGCTTTCTGCCTGTCTAACAGCCTTCCGTTATAGAAACTACTGTCCTCTCCTCCTCCTCCTGTTTCTTTCCATAAAAACTGCTATCTGCAAGAGAATAAGGCAGAGGGTCACCTAGGGCAGTCTGCTCAAGCCATGTCCAGGCAGATTTTGATTATCTCCAAGGATGGAGACTCCATGACCTCTTTGGGCAACCTGTTCCAGTACTCAATCACTTTCACAATAAAAAAGTGTTTCCTGATGTTTGGGCAGAACCTCTCATGTTTCAGTTTGTTCCCATTGCCTCTGGCCCTGTCACTGGGCACCACTGAAAAGAGCATGACCCCACCTTCTTAGCAGCCTCCCTTCAAGTATTTATATACATTGATGAGATTCCCCCCAAGACATTTCTTTTTTAGGCTGAACAGTCCCGGTTCTCTCAGCCTTTCCTCATATGAGAGATGCTCCAGCCCCATAATCACCTTCATTGGACTTTTTCCAGTATGTCCATGTCTCTTGCCTCCCTCAACCTGCTAGCAACACTCTCAATACAGCTGAGGATACCATTAGCTTTTTTTGCCCTCAGGGCACATTGCTGGTTCATGTTCAGCTTGGTGTCCACCAGGACCCCCAGCTACTTTTCTGCAAAGTTGTTTTCCAGTTGCTCAGCACCATATCCTGGTTCATGGGGCTGTTCCTCCCCACGTACAGGATTTTGCAGTTGCCTTTGTTGAACTGTATGAGATAGATAACGTCATAAAGTGATTAACAACTTTATTAAGTTCTCAGAACCAGAGAATAAAGAATTGTGTACCACAGGTTCTTAGAAAGTATACACAACTTCACATATAACGTCCAAATCAACTTTAAGAGAAAGATGAAATATATTCACAAAGTACTCTGTCACAAGCTACAGGCAGTATATTCTACCAATTACCACGAAGTGGTTAAAAGTGGAGGCAATTAAAACAATTTTCTCTGATTTCAAGTTCTATAGTATCAAAAATGGCATTTCCTCTATTCACATTCAAATTACTTCTTGTTCCTTATACTTATTTTTAAAAAAAAACAGATTCAGAAAATGATGCATGAAAATGATCAGGTACCAGATATTGAGAAACTGGAGCAGCAGGAGTTCAACCTGGATATAGAAGAACAGGAAAGAGCACAAGCAGAGGCTGAACAAGAAGTGGCCAGGGTATGATAGAATGGGGGGGAGAACATTTTAAAACTAGCAGTGAAAAGGAGAAAGAATGATTGAAGAACAGAGGATGATCTCAAAGTTGCTGTTCACTGCTGAGAAGCAGAAAATCTTAAAATATTTAAAGTCACTTTTTGAAGCAGGTGAAGCTGCTGATGCAGACATTACCAACTGAAATATGATCTATGCCAGAAACAATAAATCTGACACTGTGGTCTTGAGCATGTTGCTTAATTTCTATAATGCTTTTCTTCACATATAAAATGATGGCTTTCAGTAGTATGCAATATAGTTTTTGGAAAAGATAGCTGCAATAGTCTAAGATGATGAAATGTTGGTAATTCACTTCATCTGTTAGGTTTCTTTCAATAACTCAATAAAAATTGCCCATATCTTGTTGTTTTGCACCACATCTTGTTATTTTATTTTCTGTATCTGAAAGGTGAGGAAGGAGATTGAGAAGGAGAATTTAGTCAACTGCTATTTGCAGGATGTCATCAAACATGAGTGCTGGGATGCTATGTGTGTAAAAGGACGTGCAGTTAAGGTAACCTCTGCTTTCTAACTCATTTTCTGCAGTACTTTATTGATTCCTTACAGAGTAAGGAATTCCTGTACAGAGACAAAATAAATAGAAGTAACACATTTTTTTATTTCCTTACAGTAGGGGAAAAAACTTACTTCTTCCCAGGGCTCATGCAAATCTTTCATTCTGTTCATTTTGTCTGAACCTGGCTGATTTTACCTTCTAAGGTGGATAAGAGTGCTGATAAGCAAATAAGCAATTCTTTAATTCCTTGATCTCAGAGAATATCCTTATGCAGTGTTGCTAAAAGGAGAGTTAAATACTATTTTTCTGTGTGCAGTCAGTATGACTTCTGCTACACAGAACATAAAGGTAAAATTTAACCCTGATTTTGCCTATTTTAAACAGAGGGAAATTAGTCAAACTGATGATACTGGGTTATCTCAAGGGTGGTGAAAGACCAAGTCATCTTACCAAAAAATTAGTTCTGGCTGAATTCTGTGGATAAAGAAGCCATATCCATAGATGATTTAAAAAAAAAAAAGGAAGAAAAAAGTAAATTTAAACCCAACCATTTTCACTACCAAAAAGGCAAATGGTTTTAGTCTTATCTCTGTATTTTTACTATATTGTCTATATTAATTCATCATCAATTTTATTCCTGATTTTAAGAAGTCTTCATAACAGTTTAGCATTCAGGTATTGAACAAATTCATTGATAGATGTATTCTGAAGATCTTTTTACTTTAGGTTTTGGGTTTTGTTTGTTTGTTTTAATTTGAACAGTGCTTCCATATGGCTTGTGAAGTGAAGAATTATCCACTGAAGGAATATAGTGAAGAAGAGCTGGAAACTTTGGAGAAAGTTCTCCGGTTAAAGAAGATTGAGACAGCTGATCTTAAGGTACAATCTCTTTGCAGTACTGCACAAACGCGTTTCAGATCAGGTTGTTCTGAGTTAGTATCTCAACACTTCTTTACATAGATACATTTCTAAGGTCCATTTTCTTGCAGTAGAAATTGTCAAAAAAAAATTTAAAATTATAAATAAAGATGAAATGTGTTTTTACTCAGGACAAATGTATTAGTATTAAAGAATCACAGAATAGCTGAGGTTAGAAGAGCCCTTTGGAAGTCATCTAGTCCAGCCCTCCTAGAGCAATTTATTTAGGGCTGTTGTCCAATCAGGTTTGGAATATCTCCAAGGATGGAAGATTCCATAACCTCTATGGGCTACTTCTTCCCAAGTTTGCCAAACCTCACAGGAAAAGTGTGGGGGTTTTTTTGAGTTGGATGTCCTATATTTGGATGTATACCCATTTCCTCTCAATCTGTCACTGAGCACCACTGGGAAGAGTCTAGCTCTGTTGTCCTTATTCCCCACAATCAGGTTTTTATATGCATTACTAAGATCCCCCAAGCCTTCTCCTTGAGGCTAAACAATTTCAGCTCTCAGCCTGTCCTTGCATCTTGGATGCTTCAAACCCTTAATTGTATTAGTAGCCTATCACTGGACTTGCTCCAGTATGCCCATGTCTTTCTTGTACTGGAAAACCTACAAATGGACCCTATATTCCTGATACGATCATTTCAACTTGTATTCTTTTGATCACTGAGCTTAATTGCAGAATATAACCTCTACAATTTTTTCATACATGTGCCACTGGATCATGTACAAAATTAACAGTTATCATGTTTTTGGTATTCAGGTTCAGAAGGAAAATCTAGAGTCTGAGGTTATATTATCTAAGGAAGGAGAGAAGGCAGAAGAAGTAATGGCTGATGATAGTGCATCTTACTGCCTGATTGGAAGTCTGAGTTCTCAGTATGGTGGAGACACATCTATTCTATACCACCAATGGGACTTGCACACCAGGGAGCAGAAAGTCAACCAGATAGTGTTATTGAAGGTGATGTCTTCTTAAATTTGTATTACTGCAGTGACACTGTCATATCTATTGGTTCTCACAGCAGCCACAGCCACTGCTAGATTTTGGACATACTGGCACTATACAATGGAGAGTTACACAGGTCTCAGTTACTGAGCTGAAAGCTGATAAATGCACATAGTGCAGTAGAGTACCACGTGGGTTTGCCAGCTCAGTTCTGGAAGAAAAACATTTTTATGAAATTGGTTACCCAATTTGAGGGTATCTGTATTTGCCCACTGGTGCTTCTGTTTAAGAGTCTGTATAGTCAAAGCTAGCTTGCGCATCTCAGCATGCCCTGTGAAAACATGACCTCTTTCCATATTATTTGCTGCTGAATGAAAGATCAGTTGGATCCTCACACCATTTCCTTTCTCTCCAGTCTTACCATCCCTTCATTTGGAGTCTTCAATGTGTCTGTTACTATTCATTACTATCAGACTCTCTTACTTCTCTTACCCTGGCCAGTTTAAGTGGTAAACATGCTACAGACTAGGCTTCTTATGAAGATGCTCTATAAGGGTAGAAGTGGTAGTAGTAAACTACTACAAGACATTGCCTCCTGAGAGCTCTTTAAGGCTACTTTTCTTTGATGAGATCAATTATTTAGGCTAGAGGAAGAATTTATCCACTAAGAATATATGCTTTTTAAAATCATTATAAGGTCTCAGGTGTTTTAAAAAATTAGTTTCCAATGTTTGTTTATTTAATGGGCACATTTTACTTACGTGTCAGACAGAAAATCACATGAAAGCATATTGAAACTGCAGGTTGCATCACTTAAAAATCAGGTAAGTATGTCCTTAACTGTGCTTCCCTGCACTTGTGATTTACAGTCCCTAGATTTAGAGGTCATGTGTTTTTTTCTTTGAAGCCCCTTCTTCTTTCAGCTGAAGAGTGCAAAAACCCAGCAATTAGAAGGCAGCCTAATTTTTTGTCTAGGTTTGGCAGTTGTATGTTTCTTTCAGAATCTTTGTCAATTGGCAAATATATAGAGGAAAAGGAATAAAAATTTCTAGGGGAAAAAAAAAGAAAAAAAATGGTAATTTGCTCACCTCCATTTAACAAAGCTTGAACTTTGCCCTTATGATTTTCACAAAAAGGACTTTACTAGTTTATCTCCCTGTCACACATACAAATACACACATTTATGATTCTCATGGCTTGAGAGTCGTAGTTAATCATGAATGAATGTGCAGTATTGCTGTTTCCTTTTTTGGTTTTTCAGGACATAATTTACAAAGTGAAAACTGCTTTTAATAAGGAATTTGACATAGTTGCACGACAAAAGGAGCAGGAGATAGCACGAGTGAAAGAACGAAACCTGAGGATCCGAGAAATCTTGGCACAACTTGACCTCCAAATGGAAGTGTGGGAGCCAGCTCTTACAGATGATGAGATACCAGAGCGAGCGCTCACTGTTCAGGATTCAGAGGTGTCTGAAAAATAAATCTTTCTCTTTCACCCACTCAAACACAATTCTCTAATTCTTCTCTTTCCAGACATTGTGTCAGTACTGAAAAGCTTTAAAACAGATGTGTCTGTGTACTTAAAATAGTATTTTTTACTCTTTTGCTTCACTTCCCTTTCTAGGGAGAAAGGTCCTAGTAAGTCAGTCTGAAATGAATAAAATGCATACAATCTTAATTCATTGCTGTTAAAAGTTTTTAATTGCCCATAAATTATGTAGAAATTACCCCTGTTCTTGACTATAAGATTCAAACCCAGCTTGCATGGATTACTTCCATAGATAAACGTTTCTCTGTTTTCTCTGAGCACCATTTTGAAACTAAGTAGTTTCAAACTAAGTATCTAAGTACTAAAGCATACTTAGTACTGTACTTATAAATTCAATTGATAATTTATAGAGAAACACCATATTTCTTATACAATATATTCCACTGATCTCATGTGCTCTTTTGGTCAGTCTGTTCCCACTTCTCTGCTCTCTCACAAGTCCATGTTATTCCACTGTCAGAAAAGGTATCCACAAAACACAACTAATATCAATAAAAATGATGGTAGTTTGTATTTTAACATTTTTAAATATAGCTTTTGGAGCTCTTCAAAAGGACAGTTTTTCTTCTTGAGCAATAGTATCATAGAGCAGAGATACAAAAAGCACTGAGAATTAATTTTACACCATCTTTCCAAATGTTCTTACTCCACATGTGATCACGTTTAGAGAAAAGAACCCTTATATGAACCTCATTTTCTTCCTTCAGATTAAAGTTGAAAAATACTTGACTCAACAAGAGAGAGAGAAGGCAGAAATGCTGGCTAAGCTTGAAATGGAAAGATGCCTTGCTGCTATGGTACTTAAAGTAGTATTCTTTTTATTGAATAGGTCTTTGTCTCTAGTTAGGCTTATTTAGTTAATGCTGCACTGGAATATTCCAGTAATGTAGTATGGGAGAAAAAATTTAAAATGGTAGGTAATGATGATGTGTGCCTTTTCCCTCTTATTATTGTTTCTAATCAGAACTACATAGACCAGCTGGGGAAAGAAAAGATTTAATGTTAGGCTCACAATTTTTAAAAATGTGCTTAGTGGCAATTAAAAATACTGTATCAGGTGACTGGAGACTAGATATGTTACTAAATGCGTGCTACTACTCAATTGAGAGTTTTGTGCTTGATATGTGTTTGTTGACTGAGTGACCTCTGTTCTTCAGAGATCAGACTAGAATATCATAATGCTTTCCTCTGATTTTAAAATGCATCTGTGAAAAGCTTAAGATGGTTCTGGCCCCAAAAGACATGCACAATAAGACCGTGATGCTAAAACTTCCTTCATCCTAGCCCTGCCAACTGGCCAGCAGTAGTCTATGCTTCTGTATTCTTCCCAAAACTGCCAGAATGGCAGTTTTAGTAAGTTATTTAGTATATGAACATCTGTCCATCAGAAGAAACTCTGAGGCTTTTAGCATATTTCACATGCATCATTGAAGAGCATTAATCTACTAGTTAAGCATAGTATAATCGTATGGGTGATCTAAAGGTGAACTGCTTTATTATCATTCCCAAAACTTCCAATTACTGCACTTCATTTTATACTCTAAAATATTTTTTGTGGTCGTTCCCAGGACAATGAAAGACTGCGTGCTCTTAATGACATGATGGGTGGAGTGCTAGAAGTCAAAAAGGAAGACATCTTGAAAATGGTGAGCTGCATTTCTGCCATATCATTTAGGTAGCTTGTGGGCTCTTAAGGAAATGTGAGATTCAACTAGCAAATATTTCCAACCTAATTGATAGAAGAAAGTTGGAGAATTGTAGAATTGTGTTATGCCTAGATAGACTCCATAAGAGACCATACACTGCATTTAAAAGAGACCACAAGATTCTAGTGCCTGCATATGATTTACCCATCAACACTTGTCCCTATCATATTGGAATACTATAGGAACATAATCTGGTATTACCATTACAACAACTGCATTGCTGGGGGAAGGGTCTGGACCCATGGGTGTGATCTTACAGAGAAATAGTGTTCCATTTAACTCAGCAAATATAGATAGTAAAGTAGTAGAGGAAGGGAAGAATGTGAAGGAGGTCACAGAAAAAGGGCAGACCCAAGCACTCTCCCTGAATTTGATCTGTTTTGGAAAATTAGGACTCCACTTAGAAGTATACATTAGCATGGTGTTAGATTTGGGGTCCTGAAACAGAAAATGTGATATATCTTGTACTGACAAAAGTATGTTGGAATACAAAATACTTGTATTTTACAAGATCGAGTAGTGAATTCCTGTAAGCAAGTAAGAGAGAATAGCACAATATATATACACCGAAACTACTGATGCAAGCAACAGACGAGAAAAACAGAATATATTTGTTACTTAGACTTAAGGCTTGTACCTTCCTTACCACTAAGAAATACCTTTCATTAAATTTGATGCATGCTATAGTTTGTTAGTGTGTTGATGGAGACTTAGATTCCTTTTGAAGCATATTTGTCTTTAATACATCCAGGACATTCCTCCACCTCCTTTTGTATCCAAGCCTGAGCATGTTTGGAGTGATGAAGAAAAGAATATATTTAGAGAACATGAGAAAAAAGTCAAGGAGCTGAATGAAGAAAAAGAAAAGTATAGAAGGGTAAATTAAAATGAGAAAAGGAGTGGTTTTGTTAACAGTGCTCATGACTAAAGCTTTTGATCTTTCTCAGGAGCTACTTCTAAAAATGAATACTAATAGATAGAATAAACAAAGAATAAATGAAAAAGAACGATCATGTGGCATATTAAATAAGTCCTAGCTTAGAGAGTAAAATAAGGCAATCTCTACTTATACCAATTAATACATGCCAAAACTTGTGATATCTGACAAAAGGTAATTTTCCTTCACAAATCTACCAGTATTCCTAAAATATTTTTTTCATGTTCCATTCCCAGAATTGCTGATGCCATACACAAATAATACTATTATATTTATCCTTCAAAGTGGTATTTGGACAACATAATTTGGTAGCCTGGCAGCAGTCTACTTCCAAACAAATAGTTTCTGGGACCTTTTGGCTGAAGGATATAGTTCCATATTGTGCATTCTCCAGCATCTGCTATACTATATCAGAGCTTCTTTGTTCCTCCAGATGTAATATTCCTTCCCTTCCCCAGGCACTGGAAAATGAACTGAAGAAACTTGAAGCTTCCATCCGGGAAACAACACAAAATTTTGATGAGACTGTGTGCAAACTCTCTGAAAGGAAAGTGAAGTTAGAGATGGTCATCTATCAGGTATCACAGAGAACGTTAATTTTTCATCTTTACCTCCATGCAGCAGGTTTAACATTTTTTATTACAATCTTTTCACAGGAAGAACTCAAAATAGTAAATCTTGTTTATGCTTTACTGTTGGATGAAGAGTTGAGCACTAGAGAAACTGGACTTCATAATTTCCTTATGAAAAAGGAGAAAGAAAAAGTAAGTTATCATTTGGAATGCTGTTCTTAGGGAAAGTGCAATATTTACAAGATAGTTTCTTGTGAAAACTGCTCTTTCAAAATCAAAATTTTGCCATAAATGACCTTCTGACAATTTCATAGAATCAGAATAGTTTGGGTTGGAAGGGACCTTTAAAGGTCATCTAGTCCAACACCCCTACAATGAGCAGGGACATCTTCAACTAGAGCATGTTGCTCAGAGCCTCGTTCAGCCTGACCTTGAATGTTTCTGCACATGGGGCGCCTACCACCTCTCTGGGCAACCTGTGCCAGGGTTTCACCACCCTCATTGTGAAAAATTTCTTCCTTATGTTTAGTCTAAATCTACCCTCTTTTAGGTTAAAACCATTACCCGTTGTCCTAGTGCCACAGGCCCTGCTAAACAGTCTGTCCCGATCTTTCTTGTAAGCCCCCTTTCAGTCCTGGAAGGCTGCAATAAGGTCTCCCTGGCGCCTTCTCTTCTCCAGGCTGAACAGCCCCAACTCTCTGAGCCTTTCTTCATAGGAGAGGTGTTCCACCCCTCTGGTCATTTTTGTGGCCTCCTCTGGACCCACTCCCAACAGGTCCATGTCTGTCTTGTGCTGAGGGCTCCAGAGCTGGATGCAGTACTGCAGGCGTTGTCTCACCAGAGCAGAGGAGAGGGAAAGAATCCCCTCCCTCGACCTGCTGGCCACACTTCTTCTGGTGCGTCCCAGGATATGGTTGGCCCTCTGGGCTGCGAGCGCACATTGTATGTCTAGCTTTTCATCCACCGGTACCCCCAAGTTCCTCTCAGCAGGGCTGCTCTCAGTCCCTTCATCCCCCAGCCTGTACTGATACAGGGAATTGCCCCGATCCAAGTGCAGGACCCTGTACTTGGCCTTGTTGAATTTACAGGGTACTGTTTTTTTTTTTTTCAAGTTGTACATGTGACATACATTATAAATACATATGATTTTGAATAGATACTCGTCTTGGTTCATCTGGAGTTCTTTGGTAAAACTCCATACATTCAGAGGGGCATGCTGCTATTTGTTTGTTATATATAATAATTTTTAATTCCCAGTATCAATTTTGCAGTATCAAGCTGGAAGTACCAATTATGATGCTTTTGTGACAGATGGATGCACAAAAGAATGTGTAATGTCATCACATTTTTTCACTGAGGTGTCTAATGTAGGCCAGGGCCATGCTGACTTGTGTTTGCCAGTTCAAAGCATAGACTGAGGTGGCATGCAAGAAGTAGAACATTCCACAAGTGCAAAGTGTTTGTAGTTTCATCAACCAATTTAATCTCCTGAAGAGTTTACCCATCCCTGTCAAACCATATACAAGTTAACAAAAGACTGCAGAGCACAAGTAGTAGATCTGGATTTCAGTATAAGTGCTTACTGCCCAGAGTAATAATTTTGAGTGACAGCTCTGATTCCTGTGTCCTGCCAATACCTGTGTGACTCAGGTGATCTAAGTGGTGGTAGTCTGCAGGTTTGTTCTGGCTCTTGGCACAATATTATCCTATTTGCCCACTTTGTCTTCGTGGAGCTGTTCCTGAGTCCACAGAGAATATATTGATACCTCCCTGTGTCAGATCTCCTGCTCGACCTGTATAGACCTCTGCGTTTTTGTAGCTGCAAGCAGCTATTTGTGTGAGAGCTACAGGGAGAGGTTCCAAAGTAGGCATTTAGCCCCTACCACTGAATAGGCTGAACTAGTTTTAAGATTTTTTGAGGCCAAGTGTGTACCAGCTTACATTTTTCAAAATACATCTTTTTTTTTTTTTTTTTTTTTCCTAAATGTTTCCATTGTTGTATCTTTTGGTCCATGTGAACGGACAAATACAACAAAACAATCTCCCTGGTATAAGTATTTAAAAGCCTTGATAAAACAGTTGAGATTAGTATCCTGACATGTAGCAGAACTATGTCATGACAACAAGGAAACTGCACTCTAAAATGAAGAATCCTCCACTGAACAGCATTTGAGAATTTTCAGCTGGTCTTACCTGTGATGACATGAAAAGAAAAGGAAATTTTTATGCAAGTGAAAAAAGTATCAACATAGGCCCTTACATTCAAATTTTTTTCTTCAAACAGAAGACTTGTAAGCATTTGTGTAAGATATTTCTTACACAGATTTCTTAGTTTCTTAAGCAGAGGACTAGTTTAATTTTGCACATTCTCACCTTTTAGCAGTATATACAGGTAACCCCCTGAAGAAGGCATTATATTGTTAGTAAAAATAGCTCCCAAGGTTTTCTCTAGAAATAGGAAAGTAAGTGTCAGCTTCATCAGTGTATATGAATGTATATGAATCAGTGTATATATCAGTGCTTCTGCTGGCTGAGTTTTATTCCTGAAATCTTTTGGTTTTGCTGTAGGTCAAGACTGCAAGAACAATCCAAACTACAAAAAATAAAATTGAAGATTACATAGACACCTATGAAAATGCAATAGCTGAAGAGAAGGTGAGACTCTCGACAAACACAAGGAGATTAAGAAATCAAAAAGTCAATGCTGTGTCTTGATAATGAGAAGAAGTTTCACTGTACATATGGGATGAGTTTTGGCCAACTTCCTGATCACTGAAATTAAGCAGTAAAGGAGAGTATGTGCATAGAAGAATTTATTAAATAGTCCAGAGTCCCGTGGTGCTTGGGAGTGCTTGGAAGAGCACCATATTCTATATTTCTAAGATATGAGCAGATTGATGCTTTTTTTAAAATAACATTGTGGTAACAAGGAGGCTTTCTGTTTTCCTCCTAGAATCTGGAATGTAGTTTTACAAAGGAGTTTGCTGATGTACCTGCCAATCTCCTTGATGAACTTTTCCAACTTTACAAACATCGACCAAAGTAAGATCCTCCCTGATTCCATCTGTTTAAATACTAGTATTTCTTGTGTGTCAAGAATGAGAATGCTATTTATTTCAATAGTCTAAATTATTTTGATAATCAGTAGACTGCCTGCTTTTTATTGGATAGTTAACAATGGTTGATTTCCTATCATACGAAGAATTGCTATTTTGAGTACTTAAATTTCCTTATTCACCCCACACAATCAATTTTAAATACAATCTAAATAATCATCAGTTCTCAAAAACCTATATTCTTATTTTGTGTAAGATGCAATCTTACCTATTTGCTCTTTGCAAGAGATCGAGAGTATGAAATGTTCTGAGTTGTTTGTGAGCTTCTTTTGTGCAAGAGAAAATAAAAAGTAAATACTGTATGTGCTGTGTATGTGCACTAGGACCCCAATGACAGAAAAGTGCCTTGACACCGCCAACCCGTATGGGGAGTGTTCAGGCTCAGCTGAGGGTTACAAAGATGCACTTACCCTTTTAATGAAAGCAATGGATGAACTGGATAGTCCTGAGCACATGCCTTATGGCTTAGACCCATCTATGTGGGAACGTTTTTGCCTATCTAGACGAAATAAAATGGAGAGTGAGGAGCTGGTATGTAAAATTCTTTATTTTGCCAGTATATTTCTTGATACTTTCAGGTCTTAAACTTCTCTGAACTTTAAGTGTAGGGTCAAACTAGTGGTGAAATGACAATGCAGCAGACATAAGCTGTGTTTGCATTTGAAAGTTGCTTCTGGCCACATTAAATTCAGAATAATAGAAATGTCACCAAGGGAAACCAGCTCTAGTTCTCCTTCAGAGGAAAAATTAGCATATTAATGTGTGTGGATTTGATAAGAATGATTGTGACCTTGATATGGTTTCATTAAAGAAATAAGATCATTTTCCTTTTCTCTATCCATACCAAAAAACTATTAAGGTATTTGATTTCCATCATCTGTTGGAGTCATTCCATCCCATTAGCATTCTACATTTGCACCAATGCATTCCCATATTTTTCTAGAACAGCAAGAGCAATTCTTAACAAAGGGTGTTGCTGGAAAGTTCTAGCAAGCTATTTGTTCAGTTTAAAACCATGAAGGTGTAAATCTGAATTATCCAGAGAGAGAGATACATGACCTTTGACCAAGAGAGAAGGAAATGTCATTTCCCTTCATGTGAATAAACTATGCATAAATTAATAAATTATTTTCTGAGCAGAGTGTAAGGATTGTAACCTTTATGTCTCATGTGCTCTACTGGGATTCTCAAAATACTAGGCTGCATATTTATAACACACACATGTTTTCTTAAGAACTTGTCTTCTCTGTTCTTGAAGAGGCTTGCCCTGTCATACTGACAAAGTTGAAAAAGTTCAGAATGTCATGATATTGCTTGCTTAGGTGAAATGGAAGGCCCTAACACTCGCAGAGATGCAGGCCTTTCTCCAGAGAAGAATGGATGACAATGAGGAGATTGAGTCAGAAATAGAAGACATTTTCCAAGAACTCACTTGGTAATTTTCTTTTCCTATGTTCAGCTACTTTTTAATAGTCCACCAACACAGAACCAAAAGTTATATACAGAGTTACACAGCTGTGTTCTCCAACACTCTTTTATCTAGGATTCATCTGAGACACCTACGATATTTCTGAAATGAGGTGTTATTGCAGCACATGTGAGCAGGCCAAACCAGTCTTAATCCACCATCTTAAGTAACAACATCAGTAAGGATGGCAGCATGGTCTTCAATGCAAACTGACTGCCCCAAAAGCTACGGTGAATCCCCCAAAGGCCATATTTGCGCTAGCTAGCTCAGTTAAAATTTTGCTCATGTAGGCCTAAAATACAGTGATCATGCTTAATTGCAATCTGCTGCTCAGTCACGTGACACCTGATTTCACTGAGCTGCTTGGATGTGCAATATTTCATTTTTTATGTACATGACATAATTTTCACATTCATTGTCATTCAGGAACAAACCCCAGGATAAATTGTACAAGAAAATGGGTGCTGGCTGGGAGTGTCCTCCATTTCCTTTTCAATTGCTGTTAAGATTTCTGTTCAGTAAGAACACTTCCTCTCAGAACATCTGCTAGAGTATGTTAAACTGAATCCAGTGGTTGAAAACTTTATGTATGGAAATAAATTGCAAATTCTGTTGTCATTTTGTGAGCAAATAGAAAAAAGGCTGTCAAAGAGTAACACCTATATGAACAAATCACTTACCAGTAATAAATATAAACATTTTGAGAATCATGGGAGGATTTATATAATCCTGTTGAAATCACTAAACATTCGTTTTTTTCTGCCATTTTAGGCTGCAGGAAGAGAAAATGAAACTTCAATTGAATTTGACTGTCCAGTTTTTGCTAAAACAAGGACAGGTGGAATTGGAAAGTACTGAGATCCCAGACTACACTGATGCCATTCTCATTAATAAGAGTGTTATTGAAGAACTGAATTGCTCTATCATGGTAATTGACATTATCTGAACGAAATTTAAGCTTTTTAAACGAACGTATTGTCCTTCAGGGGCTCTGCTTTTTCGCCAGTTTGACATCTAGTTTCAATTCATTGCTACACATCAATAGGCTCCATTGTAATCTAGAGGCTATTAAGTCCGTAATGTCCCTTATCACGCTATAAAGATTGCAATACAGATTGCTTTCTTGATGTTTGATCAATACAATTCAGATCAATGAAATGGCAACATTTTTTAGACACACCATCACTTACACATACTCTGTAAATAGAAAATGCTAATATCCAGGGCACCAGTCCGAAAATCCCCTCAATACAAACTTACAGTCATGTTAAGAAGCACTTGAACAGTAGCTTACATTGAAGATTTAAAAAATTAATACACTTTTTTTATGTAAGGTGAAATTCGTGATCATACTTTTGTAGAGTTAAAATGCCTTTGCATTCTTATAAAAGATAGAAAGATGGAGAGAGAGGTTAGTTGTAATTTTCTCCATCTCCTTCTATGATCCAAGGCTGTGGCACAGAGCATAAAAGCGAACAAAATTCCACAAAAGATAACCATCTGGAGCAAAGTCTGGAAAAAGACTGCAGTGTATCATGTTTTCCCTACTAAACTTGTAACTTTGGAAGCTTGCCCATCTTGTTGCAAATAATTATCCCATAATCTGTAAAGTCTGTTAACTAAGATGAATCTATTTTTTCAGGCTCAAGGAAAAAAAAAAATTGCTAGCATGGTGGAATGTAAAGACTTCTCTAAAGGGATATTTCAGCTGGAATGGGAACACAAGAAAATGCGAATGCAGATAGAAGATCTGCAACAGAAGGCTCGGGATATTGTAACACTACCTATTTCAAAAGATCGCCAGCTAGTGAGTTACTTTCTGTAATTCATATTTTGACTGCAGAAGATTTTGCTGCCTATAATACCTCTTAAGTCTCTTACTGTTACAGAGAAACCTGATACCTAATAGGTCAACAATTCAGCTTTCAAAGGGAAGTTTTACTCTTGAGATTGATCAGTGATGAAGTTCTTTGGGATGTTCAGGTGTAAACAAAGGCAAAATTAGCCCTAACTCTTAGTGTTTCAAAATTGGCACTGAGAGTAGGGAGTCAGGATTTTGCAGCCACAAGGAAGACATCTTTTAAATCAAGCACCATAACTTCCTTTTAAGAGAAAGGTCTGAGGTGCCCCCATCTGGTATCTCACAGAAATACTGTAACTTTTGCTCAGTATAGAAAGATTGAGCATTCCCACAGGAGTCTCTCTGAGCCCCACTCACTGAGATTTGTTGGCCCAGCAGCAGAACGACAGGGAATTGTTTTGCCAAGCCTGTCAGGCAAGAGGCAGCAGCTGGCCAGCAAGTCAGCACCCAGATAACTTTGAACAAGCCCAGCTGGCAGGCCAGAAACCATAGGTAAAGGTTGTGGGAGAAGAGTGGGAAAGACCTAGGGTATTGCAGTATGGGATGTGGAGGACTGCAAGGAAAGCTGATGGTTTTGTAATGATGAGGTGGGGGGCATGGAGTAAGGTTTGGAGTAAGGGATGTTGAAGGATGGATAGGCTGGAGATATTGCAGTGGGGAGAGCTGTAAAGCACAGAGAAAATGAAGCATGTTGGAGAGCAGGTAAGGATATTGCAATTCAATCAAAAGATTAAAAGAAAATACAAAATGTGTTTTTTCTCAATCTTGTTTTGCTGGTCTCCAAACTGCTTGTTCACTTCTGAATCACAGCCAAGGGACTTCCAAAACCAACACCAACAAAGCAGCTTTCCAAAGAGGTGATGTGACAACAAACAGAAAAGTTATTGTAGCAAATTTATCACCAGAGTGTTGCCGTTGTCTCAAACTTCATTTAAAGTGATGAACAGAACTATTGCTCTTCAGAGAGAGTTAGACTTGGCCATAGCAAAGGCATATACCAGTTTAATCAGAATTTGAATGCTCTGAGGGGCTTAACTTCACTTTTTGAGTAGAAATATGGGGTTAGTAGTAAAGACAAGGCAACAAAGACCCCAGCAATAAGTACAGAAAGAAAGATGTCTTAGATAAATGCATGCTGGGAAGGACCTGAGAACACCTGGAACGAGGGCTATGTGTGAAGCAGTGAGTGAAAGCAGTTTGGTGCTGTAGGCAGCTGTTTCTCCTCTTCTAACTAGAGCAGTCCACAAAATTTTACCTGTCACTGGTGGAACAGTACTCAGGACAACCAAGGGATCAGGCCCAGCCA